TGGCACCATAGGGCCAAACTCCCTCAAGGCCACTGTGGCCTGAGAAGCAACTGCCCTTCAAGAAGTTGTGCATCCCACACTTCCAAGTGGTCCTTGACCACTTCACTTACTGATGTCACCTGCCTGGCTGTGGGGGCATTCGAATTTGAGACTCTTGGACCATGCTGAGGCCTGGAATTGGATCTGTCCCACTCACTGTGGCTGCCCCACCACCCAGCCCAAGGCATGGAACACAGAAGACCAATGAGGTCCTCAAGACTTTAGGCCTGGCTGTCCTACTGTGTGACCCTGGGCAAGGCACTTTCCCTCTGTGAAACTTAGTCTCTGCATCTGTGAAATGGGCCTTCCAGATAAGTTATGCGGCAACTGCAGGAGGCAGGCATAGAGTCTGGGGTTGACAATGACTTACTGTGGCACACAAACTGCTGGGTGGCCCCCTATGTCCATTCTCCGGTTCTTAATCCTGGCTGCACGTTAGAATCACCTGGATCATCTTTATCTTGAATCATTTTATCTTAGAGCAGGCCCCAATCCACACCAAAGGTGGCTGCCCTTCGCACGTAGAACGAAGCCTCCACGTCTTCGAGGCCTCCCTCTCTCCCACGGCCCTCTCTTGCTCGCTCTTTTCCATTTCTCTCTCCTCATTAGCAGCCATTCTGATATGTAAATGGATCTTTTTCTTTTGCTCTTGCAAAATGAGGACTGTCATTTTACATTCATAATTTGTCATTTATACCCCCAGTCTTATAGTATAGATCGTGTTTTCACTTTTTTGTGTCTCACTGGTGTGACATGGTCATACTTGGCCCACGGCCCCTGACGGCTGCACAGGAATCCTTGGGGTGGGCCCCTCCATTCAGCCACCTGCTCTCCTGAGGTGCACACGCATGGTGCTTGCAGCTCCCGCCCGCCACCAGCCTCATGCATGCTCCCTCGTGTCTGGGGAGAGAATTTCTTTGGGAAGTCACCCAGGAATGGAATTCTTGGGAGGTACATATGTGCAATGCTTAATTTGAATAAGCCAGACTTGTAACTTTTACCAGACTCATAGTGTTAAATGACATTTCATTATTTGAATCTGCAATTCTCTGATTACTTATGAATTTGAGCTCCTGTGTGTACCCTTCTTAACCTTTTGGGTTCTTTATTCTCTAAGTTGCCTTTGCCCATTTTTCTATTAGGGTTGCTCTCCTTTTTTTTTTTGTTTGTTTTTGAGACTGACCAGTACAGGGATCTGAACCTTTGACCTTGGTGTTACTGGCAACTGGCCAGCCTACTCTCCTTTTTTAAGATATCTTTATCAGTTATGATTTTGCAAACATTTTCTCCCATTCTGAAATCTATTACAAATGAATTCTTGATTTTGATATTATCAGCTTTTTCTTTTATAACAGGTTCCTTTGGAGTTTTGTTTAAGATGTCCTTCTTGGCCCTTGGGTCATGGAATCCTTTCCTTTTTTTTTTTGTTTGTTTGTTTTCCTTTCTGTCTTTTTTCGTGACCGGCAACGGATCGCAACCCTCAGTGTCGCGCCCATACCAGACCGGGNTCGTGTCTGGGGAGAGAATTTCTTTGGGAAGTCACCCAGGAATGGAATTCTTGGGAGGTACGTATGTGCAATGCTTAATTTGAATAAGCCAGACTTGTAACTTTTACCAGACTCATAGTGTTAAATGACATTTCATTATTTGAATCTGCAATTCTCTCATTACTTATGAATTTGAGCTCCTGTGTGTACCCTTCTTAACCTTTTGGGTTCTTTATTCTCTAAGTTGCCTTTGCCCATTTTTCTATTAGGGTTGCTCTCCTTTATTTTTTTGTTTTTGAGACTGACCAGTACAGGGATCTGAACCTTTGACCTTGGTGTTACCGGCAACTGGCCAGCCTACTCTCCTTTTTTAAGATATCTTTATCAGTTATGATTTTGCCAACATTTTCTCCCATTCTGAAATCTATTACAAATGAATTCTTGATTTTGATATTATCAGCTTTTTCTTTTATAACAGGTTCCTTTGGAGTTTTGTTTAAGATGTCCTTCTTGGCCCTTGGGTCATGGAATCCTTTCCTATATCAATTTTATAGTTTCTATAAAATCCATGACCCATCATGAGAAACATTGTCCAGGAAAACTGATAATGGAAATGTTCTCTATCTGTGCTGTTGAACCAGTAGCCACTGGCTACACGTGGCAGTCGAACATGTGAAATGTAGCTAGTGCAACTGAGGGTCTGCATGCTTAATTTTGTTTCATTTTAATTTAAAATTAAATAGCCACAAGTGGCTAGTGGCTACTGTACTAGACAACACAGGTCTAGGCTTCCGTTTTGTTGTGATATTAGGTAGGGATTCAGTTTTATTTTTCTCCATAAAATAAGCCAATTTCCCCAGCACTATTATTAAACAATCTCTTTCCTCCCTTGATTTGTGGGCTCTCCTTATCAAGTATGATGCTCCTGCATACATCTGGGTCTGCCTCTGGGTTCTGTTGTCATTAAATCAGGATTTCTAGGGTGAAGGCCACCAAATCTAATAAACAGCAGGAGTGGAGAATCACAGTTCCATAGTTAGATACAGCTGCCTAGAATAAAGGCTGCATTTCCCAGCCCCCCTTGATTCTGGGTGCAGCTGAGTGACTAAGCTCTGGCCAGTGAGGTAATGGTGCGAACTCTGGGTCAAGTCCTCATAGGGGAGTGGGGACTGCCCTCCTCTAGTGCTCCCTTCTAGTGACAGTGAGTTATCTTACACCAGGTGGGAGAGGCAACAGTCCTGGGAAGAGGTGGTTCCCAAATTTGAGCAGGCATCAGAATCCCTTGGAGGGCTTGATAAAATACAGATTGCTGGGCCTCACCCCGAATTGCTGATTCAGCGTGGGGTGGGGCCCAGGAATTTGCATTTCCAGCAAGTTCCCAGGGACGCCGCTGGTCCGGGAACCATACTCTGAAAGCCACTGGTCTGACCTGTTTGAATCCCTCATTTTTGGGTCTCTGAAAATACACCTCTGGCCTACAGGCTAACACATCCCCAATTTCCACTTCTGGGCCTTTGGGTCTGACCACCCCCCCGCAATAGTCATGCCTTGTGGAGTGCCCTGTATAGTCAATTAAATCCAGACAAAGCGAAAGCCCCAGTGCCCCATGGTTGCTGTGGCAGATGATTTGGGGTGCTTCACGGTCCACCCTGCCCTTTCAAGTGCTCCTGTTCTATGCAGACTGGAAGCCTCAGAAACAACTTTGCACAGGCTCCCCTGCCAGCTGGATCAGTAAGGTTCTGCCAGTGGGAGGCACCTGTTAAGCGTGCAGGGTGGGAAGCAGGAAGAAGCCATTCTGCTCTGGCCACAGCAGAGACAAGAGTGGCATTCTGGGGGTTTGGGTAACGCCACTGACCCCTTTTGTCCCTCCAGCCACACACAAAGCACTCTCCTCTCTTTATCTCCCAATGCTTTGTAACTAAGCAACTCCCTGTATTAAATCCCCCGTCTGAAACAACTAGAAGGGTTTGTTTTCCTGACCAGCCACTGACTGATGCTGAGGGAACCCCTTCTGCACGGTCAGCAGCAGCAGGAGGCAGCGCTGGGGGGGAAGGATGGGCCTCGAGGAGCAGCTCCCACCATGCCACCCAAAAACCATATCTTTTAAACTGCAGAGATGGTGACTGAAGGCACCAGAACAGCAGAGTTGCTGTGAAGGCAGACAGATGTGGCCGGGCAAGTGACGTTCTGTCTCTGGGTCTCTTTCTTCGGCTAGAGAGCGGCACCGCCTAGAGCTGCTCTCGATGCCCAGCGGGACCGTTCGGTGCTCGGGTGTAAGCCGAGCGGCTCTGTAATGTTCTGTTCTTCACTGCCTTTATCTGGTTTTGGAATCTCGGTCACACCAGCTTCCTAAAATTTTCTATTCTCTGGAACAACTTGTACAAGGTAGGAATTATCTGCTCCTTCACAGTTTGGTAGATCTCATTTGTAAAAGTGTTTGCATCAGAAGCTTTTTTTATTGCCCAGGTTTTTAAAACTTTTATTTATTTTTGTTTTTGGTTGTATGTGTATGTGTGGATTATTTTGGTCTTTTCTTGTTCTCTATTTCTTTTTCCCAGAAATGTACCCACTTCACCTAGGCCGCAAACACATCCCTATACAGCAATAGCTCCCTGCACTGTCATGTTTAAATCTGATTATCCATCTAGATCATATATGCACTTGGCATAGGCCCTGCCACAGACACACACTCTGATTAAGGCCAGGACTGTGGAGGGGAGGTCGCGTGACAGTGGAGGTGGTTTAAACTAACCCACGATCTCTCCACCCTCACCACTCACTTCCCACCAACACATCCAGGCTGAGGTCCCTGGTGACGATGTTGCCTGGCCACCTCTGGAGACGGAGGTTCACTCCCCGCTCTCCTACCTGCCACCCAGGAGGATGCTGCTGCCTCTGCCTACCTCTCACGGTGCTGGGGAGGATGGGAAGGAAAACCTGGCACGGCCTGAGATGCAGAAGCTGTGTTGTCGCCCCAGTCAACCGCATTCCTTCCCCATCACTGGCCTCAGCTTGGAGCGCAGCTCTGCTGATGGAGTATCTCTGAAGCGGGCAGCTCCAGTCAATCAGCCTCAGCCAGTCCACCTGCCCACTGACAAATCTGCCAAATGGCCAATTTACTAACATCAACTTGAGTATCAGTTCCTACCCACTGAACATGCTGGAGACAAAAAAACCTTTAAAAGTTTCCAGGAAATCGCAGACTTGGCAAATTGGTCTTCATGGCACATGGCCTCTGGCAAACTGGCTGCTTTCAGGGCTGGGGTTATCCACCCCCATCTGGGAAGCGGGTGGGCAGTTACTGGCTGCTTTGACATGAACTCCCCACGCACCCACCCACACCACCCACAACGCTGGTCCTGCCTTGGCTGGAATCCTGGGTCAGCCAAGCCTCACTCTCTCCTCTCCAGACCCCCTCCCCTGAAGCCCCAGCCCAAGACAGCCTGGCAGGGGCCTTCACACACCACACACACACAAAACAAGAAAATGGTTTAATTGCAAAACTAACTTGAGGGAGGGGAGCAGGGCTACGCTGACAGGGCAGGAACCTGATCCTTCAGGCAGTGGTTCTGTCCCTGGTGCTACCCCGCAGGACAGGGATCAACTGTCCCCGGGTGGGGGGACGGGCTAGTGTTATAAAATGACAATATAAATAGACTTCTAAAAAAGGAGGCTGTCCAGGTGCAGTAGTCATTTGCTGCAGAGGCTGGGGGGGGGGGGAGGCCCCGACTCTTGTGTCCCCATCCAGCCACAGGAAGGGTGTGCAGGGCTACGGGAAAAGGCCACTCTTCAGACATTCATGATCGACCCCCACAATGGCTCAGGGGGGACGAGGCTGTAGGTCAGGCAAGGTCTCAGAGACACTCACTTGCAGTCTGGAGGACAGAGGAGCAGGACCTTCGGGGCGCACACACGCACACACACACACACCTATCTCATAGTGTTCTCTCCACCCCCAGCGACCCCCGCCACGGATTTCCAGTGATGGGAGGGCCGCCTGTCCTTCCTGGAGACAGGGGAACACAGGGGAGGGCCTGTCCCGGGGAATAGAAAGGTCCTGGGAACCTCACTCACTCCCACGAGTCCCTGTGTTTTTTTTTAAAAAGTCACAAAATCAAAACCGGAGTTCAGTAGTAGGATCCCATGTACCCCTCCCCGCCCAAGCAAGGAGAGTGGTGCCACATGGAGTGTCTCCTGGGCTGGGAGGAGAGGGGAGGCTGGCCCATACTGGCCTCCGGCAGGGCAGGGACGACCCAAGGGGCTCTTTGGTTCAGGGACAGGGCGCTGGACCTCATCTGGTGCGGTTCTGGCGCATGAGGGGCACGATGCTGGCGGGCGGCCCCGCCTTGGCCAGGAATGGGTGCTTCAGCAGCTCAGCCGCTGTTGCCCGCTGGGCTGGGTCACGCACCAGCAGACGGTCCAGGAAGCCCTTCAGGGATGGCGACACCTGTGGGGGAGGGTTGGGGGGAGAGGGTCGATGGCGCTGGGTCTGAGTGCCAGCTCCACTGCTTACTTGCTGCAGGGCCACAATTTCCTCCTCTGTCAAATGGGCTGATGGCACCTACTCTCAGGGAAGGGCACAGAGGTCACGGGTGTCTGGAGCCTGACCCCAGGGGTAGCAACAAACTCAAAGGCCCCAGGGCTCCTTTACTCCCCACTTTCGTGGTTAGGCAAGGAGCTGGCAGCAGCTGGGCCCTAGAGACACCTTTCCCACCAGGGAATTCCTCCACCAGGAAGACCCAGTTCCTGTCCCTGCACTGTGCGTTCAGCCAACCAGCCTAGGCACACCTTTGTGGGCTGGTGAGGGCACAGGGAACCCCGGGGGCTTGGCCGTCTCTGCTGCTTAGTCCCCATATGGGCCTGTTTGCACAGATGCAAGGCCCAGGGCAGCAAGGGCCGGGCACACTGTAAGTGCCATCCATGCCCCAGTCCCATCCACACCCAGCTCTGCCCAGGTGCATTGTCTCCCTGCTGGCGAGAGGCCCACCTTGTGCAGGTTCTTCAGTCGGGGTGGCAGGTTGTCCCGAATCATCTTCATGGCTTTGAGGGGTGGCTCATTGAAGTAGGGGGGCTCTCCATCCACCATTTCAATCACCATTACCCCCAGTGACCAGATGTCCACCTGGGGTGGGGGAAGGGACGGTACAACTTAGTGAAAGGCGGCCAGTCCTCAGGGAAGCCCCAAGAGGGGATGGCCCCCAGTTCTGCCTTTGCCTCTTTGCTCCTGGCATCCCTGAGCCCAGAACACCCTCTTGGATGCCCAACCAGACAGCCCCCACGTACTCATCCTCCAGGGAGTCCTCTGAATGGTGCCCCCCAGCATCCCTCCCCTTTCCTTTGGCTAATCACACCCAGGTTTCCCTCCCATCCTCCCTTAGTCCCTGCTGTGTCCAGCGGTAGGTCCATGACCCAGGCTGCTGCACTGGCACAGCCAGGGCACAATGACTGGTTAAGGAATTGGCCAAGCTGAGCCAACCAGAGCCAACCCAGAGACCTTAGCCCAAATCCAGGAACACTGCGAAGCTCGTAAGTGGGGAGATGTGTCCCAGAGTTGCCACAGGGAGTCTCTGCTCCCACAAGAGGACAGCCCGCCTGAGTGAAGATGGCACTGAGAAAATCAGGGCTGGGGAGGGTCAGAGCATATGGACAGCTGTGCCTGAAGCCTGTCCACCCCAAAGTTCACAGTTCTGGAGACCAACAGCTTTCATGTTTGTTAAATCCATCTGCTCCCAGTGCCACCCTGCTCCAGCCTGAAGTCCCTCATGATGTGCTTCCCAGGGCGCCTTTCTCATCACCAGGTACTGGGTCAAGTCTTGCTGACTGACCTCAGCAAGGAATCCTCAGGGCCACAGACCACAGCTCTAAGGGCAAGGCAGGTGACGTCAGTGAGTGAAGCAGGTCAGGGTAGGCAACTAGGACGGGTAGGGACAGTGGCTAAACAAAGGCACCTGTCCTTTGAAAAGGGGAGCAGCCCCTTAGCACCACCAATTGTTGCCATGTGGGAATCTGGACACCATGCATTTAGATCTCCTGGCTTTCCAACGAAGGATGGAAATTCTGACTTTGATGTGTCAGCTCTTATTTTAAAGTGTTTGCAAGAGCGTCTTCAGACCACACCAGCTGGAAGCCTGCCAATGTTTGGCCTTTGCACCAGGCTGTGAAGCAGGGCCCCTGGCCACTTCTGCTCAGCATTTTGTTCCCACTAACAAGCACTGGGCCTGGCTCAGAATTAGTATTTAATCAATAATGAAGGAATGGGGCTGGCTGGTTAGTTTACTTGGGAGATCACGGTGCTAGTAATGGCAAGGGTCATGGGTTCGGATTTCCTTACCGGCCAGCTGCCAAAATACAAAACCAAAATAATGAAGGAATGAATGAGTACATGCATACCTACCTCCTCTGCCATGACATCACCCCTGGCGACCCATTCCCCAGACGGAGCCCCACCTCACCCCCAGTACTCAGGTGTTTCTGGACTGTTACAACATAAACGCATGCTGACAGTGGACAAGCGGGCCACCCCTGGGCTCACCTCTGGCCCATAGGGAAGACGGGAAATGAGTTCCGGGGCCATCCAGTAGGGCGTGCCAACCAGTGACTTCCTCCGTGGCACCTCCTTGCTCACCTGGGCACAGAACCCAAAGTCTGACAGCTTCACCTGGGACAGGGCAGGCAGGGTCAGTGGTGCTAGAACAGGGGGAGGGCAGCAGAGGCATCCACCTACTTAATTCCTTGGCCTTGGACACAGTCACGCTGGCTCCATTAGGCAGCCTGGAGGTTAAAGCTGGACTCCAGAGCCAGAGCTTGCCACTTCCTGGTGGGGGCACCCTCAGGCACGTCACCTCCCCCAGGATCACACAATCTACCCTCCTGACAGGCTCTGGGGGGAGCTACCAGGTTCCCTGGGGCTCTGGAGGAAGTGATCTGAGTCCTGCAGATACAAAGGCTGGGTGGGAGCTGAGACCAGTCTGGCTCTGACAAGACAGTGCCCTGGGTCCTGCTTCTCTGGAAGAAGCAAGACTTCAGGTCACAGGTTTGAGAGCAACATTGGAGACATTAGATGCCCCTCTACCTGGGAGACGTGAGATGTTCCGCAACAACCAAGTCCCCAGGACCAAGGTGGGACCCTTTCAGACCCTTGAGGATATCCATGGATCTTCTCGCCCCAGAAAACATATCCACATGGCATACATACCATTTTAGGTAACTCACAGATGTTCGCCCAGAACACATCTGGAGACCTTACATTTTCACACTCTCAGTGAAAAACAGCTCTCTCTACCTCTGCCTCTATTGACTGATGGGGCTTAACTTTCCTTGGGGGCGGGGATGGGATTACCAACTTCTATAAGAATTTGGTGAAAGCCAAAGGCCCTCTCCCACAGAAAATCATGTTCCCCTTGGATGACAAGTGCAAGTTCTGGGCACTGTAAGGCTCACCCATGGCCCCAGATTCAGAACCTTAGTCTAAAATACGGGTGACAGGACTAGGGGCCAAGCCTACCCCCAGGTGCTCAGCTGGAAGTCAGTTTTCAGCGCAGGCGGAAGCACATGGCTGAGGGCTGTGGCTGTCTGCCAAATCCGTCCCTCTGGCCCAGGGCCGTACAGTTCCCAGCGTTCTGTGCTGAAGGCAGAGCCCCGCCAGCCTGGGCCTCCCACCGACCTGGACCTCTGGCTGACTGTCCCATGAGGAACAGATGAACTTCCTGCTCCTCAAGCCACTGCACTGGGGGTCAGAGCCCACCCTAACAGCAGAGGAAACTGGGGGGAACTTGGCAGGAAGCCCAGGCACCCCGGCCACCCGCCTCCTCACCCTGCCATCATGGGTCAGCAGGATTGAGTCACTCTTGATGTCCCGGTGGATGACACCCTGGGCGTGGAGCACAGACAAGGCCTGCAGCACGGCCAGGCACACGGCAGCAATCTGCTCCTCGTTCATCCTGTATGGGGTGGTGGTAAGCAGCTGGGCACACAGGGCCCCCACCCCAGGGGTGTGAGGGGGCGCAGCCCTTCCTCGGGATGGGGGTGTGGACAGACCTCCCTTGAGGGAGAAGGAATCTAAGAAGACATGGCCCAATCCTGGGGGCCTACGGAGGACACAGCACTGCTGGCTTTGAGGACACGGCCCTACCCCAAGTGGTCTGAAGGGGACTTAGTCCTAGCACAGGAGAGGTCTGAGGGGAGCCAGCTCCATCCTAGGGAGCCTGGGGAGTCAGCAGCCTGGGTGCAGCTTCCTGGAAGTACCTGGTATGGGTGACGATGTCGGTGAGGGCACCTCCCTCCAGGAACTCCATCACCACCCAGAGCTCATCTCCCACCAGGTAGCTGTTGTACATCTCCACCACGTTCTCGTGCTGGTAGTCCCGCATGATCACCACCTAGGCCCAGGAGGCTGAGTCAGCAGAGGGAGCCAGGAAGGAGGGAGGACCACCAAGCCCCTGCCTTCAGACCCAGCTACAACCACCCACCCCCCTACCTCCCTCTCCAGCCCAGGCTGGTTCAACCTCTCACTTTTGCTCATCAGGGTCCCCCTGAACTGCCCACCCCTACTGCCAAAGCCACTCGACCTCGAAACCAGCTTGAGGCCTGACGCCCCCATCCTGGGGGTGCACCCCACCCCATGCACACACCAGTCTCTGACTAGTCCTGGGCTAGTCTCTGAGCAGCCCTGATGACCAGGCTGGTTTGGGGGAGGTAGGTAGAAAGAGTGTGTCCAAGCACAGGCGAGATAAAAAGGACAAGCAGGTATTAGGCAAGGTTAAAATAAAAGGTGTGTGTGTGTTGGAGGAAGGATGAAGAGTTCCAGGCGCAAAAGGTCCAGCAAGGGAAAGGCCTGAAGCAGGGCTGGGTGGGGAGGTGGGGCAGCAGGGGACCAGGTGAAGCAGAAGTTCATGGTACAGGGAGCACTATGACACGAGGTGGGGGAGGCGGGGCTGAAGAAGAGAGGGAGCACCGAGAGACAGGGAGGCAGGAGCGGGCACCTGGGTGACCTCCAGGCCTGACATCCTCCAGGGACTCCCGCATCAGAGTGGGCGTGGGGCAGCGTGGGCTGCTCACACAGATTCCTCTTGGGGAAGGAGCCAGGAATCTGCCTTTGTAATCGTAATGAGTTCCCCAGCAAAGAGGCCACCAAGAGCCAAGGCCAGAAGCTGGATAAACCCAAGTGCCTAGAAGGGGGCCAGGTCAACAACGGCTTCAAATGCCTGGCAAAGGGGCCAGGACTTTATCCTGAGGGCATGGGGCGGTGGAGGACGGCAAGGGTCTGTAAAGTGTGAGAGTGGCCACGGCAGGCCTGCCTGTCAGAAAGACCCCCCTCGGCTGCTGTGCGGGGCACGCTGAGGGGGAGGAATAGACAGCCTGACTGGCTGGGGGAGGAAACAGAAGGAGAGTCCTGGTCTGGAGACAGGGTTAGGGGGGCTTCCCTGAGACGGGGAGCCAGAGGAGTAGGTCTGGGGGAGATACCATGGAGGTCGGCAGGGACTCGGGTGGAGGGACCCAAAGGACACAGAGGCAGGGGTTCAGCGGGCTGAGGGACCCTGGGTCTGGGGACAGAGATGTGGGAGTGAGTATTATTAGGACACAGAGGCAGGAACCTTATACTGGGGACAAAGGAGACACCCTAATGAAGCCATGAAGAGGACAGGAGTGAGGAAAGGAGTCGGGCCTTAAAGAGCCTCTCCCACTCCCACTCCCACTCCCACCCCTCAGGGCCTGGCCCAGACGGTAGAACACAGAGAAGAAAGATGAAGGCAGGGACAAGGCAGGACAGGAGGGCCGCAGGCTGGGTGCTGCTCCTGCCCACCTCGTTGAAGAGCAGCTCGCGCCTCTGCTGCTTGCGCAGGTCCATCTTCTTGACAGCCACCAGCTTGCCTGAACTGCGCACGGTGGCGATGCACACGATGCCCGTGGAGCCCTCTCCGATCTTGATGAAGTTGTCTAGGTAGGAGCGAGGGTCACCTGGGTCCACCACCAGCTGTAGGGCAGCCCGGAACTGCTCGTGGGATACTCGCTGTGGTTCCCGCTGTGGCGAGCGGGGACCAGGGGGCCCAGGGACGGCAGGCATGGTGGGGGCAGCAGGTGCAGTGAGGGTGCGGGCGGGAGGGGCCAGCTGGGGCTCAGAGGCATGGGGACCCAGCACTCCAGGGCTGGGGGGGCCACGGGTTCGGGCAGGAGGCCGGGAGGACGAGGACTGGGGGACAGCCAGGCCCCCAGCAGATGGCCCATTAGGGACCATGTCACGATGCTCCCCCTGCAACAGAAGAAAGAGGCAGCTGTCAGTGGAGGGGCCAGGGGGCCAGCTCTGCTCCCTGAGCAGGAGAGAGGCCACAGACACATGAGTGGTCAGGATGAGAGATGCACAGTGGGGGGTGGGGGGCATGGCTGAAGCCGAAGGGTAGGGAACAGGAGGCATGGGAAGGGGACAGGGGGTACTGGGGCAGGGGTGGGTTACCTGGGCACCCCGGGATGGGTGGTCCGTATCTGCACGCGGGTACGTGTTAAAGGGCCGGCCAGCTGCCAGTTTCGCCCCACTGGCCAGACCGGCAGGCTGGGGGGTGCCAACATCAGGCCCAGAGTGGGGGCGTTTGTCCCGGGAGGAGTCCTGGGGCACCCCTGAGCCCTCCCTGGAAGACTTGGGCCTCTTCTCCGGCCCTGCCCGCCGCCTCTCACCACTGCCACCACCCGCCTCGCTGCGACCGGCCACCCGGCCTCGGCCGCCCGCCTTCTCAGGGCCCTTTCTGGCCGCAGCGGCCTGCTCCTCCAGCATCCCGTTCTCCTGGCGGGCACGGGCAGGTGGTGGCGGGCTGTCTCTCCGCAGGGAGTTGGAGCGTGTCACCGACATGTTCTCAAACTCGTCCAGCAGCAGCGTGAGCGCCCCATCCCTGGCACCCCTGCTGCCCCTCACGATGGTCTGGGGTCCAGGACAATGGAGTGGGGGCCGGGCAAGGAGGAGGGGGACACAGGACACGCACAACACAACACACACACACAGAGAGACAAGACAGAGACGAATGAAGAAATGCCATGGGGTGATGAGGGGGTGGGCAGGTGGGGGCAGGACCAGGGAGGCCTGCAGGCCCTCCTGCCACCGAGAACTCAACTGCGGGTGGCTGAAGAAGAGACCGCCCCCTGGCAGGCTGTCGACCCCCACCACCCACAGGGCTGGGTGGCGCTCTTGAGACACACCCTCCTTGTTTTTCCTCCTACTCCCAGGACTGGGGGGAGAGTCATGCCCTGTGGGGTGAAGGGGTGGGAGGGAAGAAGCCAACCCACCCCATAATGAGCCCTGGAGAGTTGCAATTACAGGATGCTGGGGCCAGGGCAGAGCTTGGGACTTCCTCTCCTGCAGGCCTCCAGGGCTGATACCCCCAAAAGCACGATCTTGGCTCCCCTGGGGATCGAGGGTGGAGTACAGGGATAGTCCAAGAGGCCTGGGCCCAAAGGAGAGGGCAAGAGGGCCCCCAGAGCAACGTGGCAAATGCAAATGCACATGGGCACCAGGCAGAGGGTCAAGTGCCCTCTGAACCCACCCAGTCCTCATCATCAGGGCCACCACCCTGTCTCCCCTGGAATGCTGAGCTGTGGCCTCCTGGGCTCCCCCGTCGCACTCCGTTCCAAGTACACGGGCCTCTTCACTGCCCCCTAAACAGGCACACTCCTACCTCAGGGCCTTGCACTGGCTATTCTCTCTGCCTGGAACATCCTCTCCCAAGTGTCCCCATGGCTCCCTCCCACCCCTCCTTCAGGTCAAAACTCGGCTTCTAAGAGAGACTTTTGCTGACCACCCATGGTCTAAAATGCCAGCCCCTGACACTCTCCAACCCCCTTCCTGCTTTCTTTTTCTTCTAGAGCACTTAACGCCCGCTGACATAAGGCATGTGTGTATCTGTCCATTGCCTGTCTCTGCCCAGTGGAATGTTCCTGAGGGCAGTGATTTTTTCTTCTTGTCTATTTCCAGTCCTGCTACTTCTCAGCACCTAGAACAGAGTCTGGCACACAAAAGGTTCTCAGTAAACATTTGCTGAACGAGTGGAGTGAGTGAGTGAGGTGGGCTGGGCAGAGGCTGCAGCGAGCCGAGAACATGGGGACCTGCCCCACTGTTGTCAATCACTGGGGGGCCAGGGCTGCCAGACGTCCTAAAGCCTGAGGACAGCCTCTAATGTGAAGAAAACAATGACCTCACAAAATCCACCTACAGGCCACAGAGTCCCTGTGTGGCCTGCCACTGCTCCTGCCTCCCCTGGGCAGGGGCTGCCAGCTTGGAAGCCTGGCCTTGCCCAAGGGCTCTGGGAAAACAAGGCAGACTCACAGTTGGTGTTAGAACAAGGGGTCCAGAGGACCCTGGGGACTGGGGAGATTCCCGGCCAAGGGCAGGAAACACAAGTGCCAAGCAGGGGTTAGATTTTGGGAGGCACCCTATTGTGGATAAAACCTACATGCAAGTGGTCATGAGGCTGGGGTGGGCCAGGTGGGGCCCACAGGCCTGAAAGAGCCAGTGCCCCACCAATGGAGGCAGTTTTCATTCAGCTGCAGCTGTGTGTCACAAGAAGCCAGATGTATAGATTGGGATGTGAGTCTCTTACTTTTTAAGTGGTGGCAAAGAAGTCAAAGTATTCAAAAGCACCCTGCATGGGCCACAGAGACACCTCCGCGGGCTGCCAGATTAATGCCCGTACTGTCTATGGCCAGCTTGCTGACCTCGGCCTCCTCCCTGCCTGGCCTGGGCTGGGCACTGGGACAGGATGAGTCAGCCCAGGTTGGCGCAGGGCACGAAGCCTGCTGATCGACAGGCACACCCATCTCCACCACTCGGAACAAATCTGGCAGGGTTCTTCCTGGCCTGCAGCCCTTCCGGGTCCCCACTGTCCTGGGGATAAAGTCCATGCTCTGAAGCTGCCTTCACCAGGCCCAGTGTGGGCTTACACCCACCATCGAGACAGCCTCAGGCCACGCATGGGCACAGGGACCCCAACTTTTAGAATTTCATATGGAGGCAGGACGGGGGTTAAGAGCATGGGCCTTGGAATCAGACCTCGGTTCAAATCCCAACCCCACCATTTTATTCAAAATGGCAAGGGGAAAA